GCTCCCTCAAAGCCCCGACAGGAGGTGGAACACGGGATTGGGGCTCAGCTCCCGGGGAACAAGGGACAGACGGCCTCAAGCTGCACCGGGGAAGGTCAGGTTGGATATTAGGGAAAATTCCTCATGGGCAGGGCTGTCCGGCCTGGCACAGCTGCCCAGGGCAGTGGTAGAGTGCCTGTCCCTGGAGGGATTTCAAAGCCGTGTGGATGTGGCACTTGGGGACTGGGTTTGGGGTGGCCTTGGCAGTGCTGGGGGATGGCTGGACTTGGTGCTCTTGCAGGGCTTTTCCAGCCTCAGCGGTTCCATGGTTCTCTCCTACAGGTTTCCCAGAGAGCTGTCAAGCCCAGAGCTTTGTGTCTGGGCCCTGCCATGGATCCTGGTGAGCAGCGTGAAGGAGACACGGGGGTTTAAAAAAGAGGAGCTCAGGCTCTGCTGTCCTTGCTGTTGACTCTAAACCCACCCATGGATCTGAACAGCCGGTCCCACTCCTGCAGATTCTCCCTGCTGTACCCTCATACAAGCCCTAGGCCTGGCTCTGCCCTGCTGGTCTGAGGGACTCAAGGGGGCTTTGGTGGGGCTGGAACTAAAAACCAGCCAGAACCTCCCCAACAGCAGAAGCCTCAAAAACAGCAACTACCCCCAAAACCAGCAACTGCTGCCTAAACAGGAATGACCTCCCCAAACAGTGATCAGCCCCAAAACAGTGACCAGCTCCTGAGACCCACCAATCCCCCACAAGCAGCCTCCCCCAAACATTCACCACTGCCCCAAAAGCAACCACCCCCCTCAAGAAGAGACCCCCAACAGCAGCAGCCCCTCCTGTGCCAGCACTGGGGATCTGGAAGGATCAAGGCAGAACCTCCCCTGTCATTCCTGAGGTGACCCCCAAGGCCTGCAGGCGCAAGGAGCCCCTGAGAGCAGAACCCGGAGCAAAAGCCAGCCAGCCCCTGCAGAGCGGGTCCAGAGCAACGCCAAGGCTGCACGGTGAGATGTGAGCTGGCTGGGCAGCGGGTTTATTTCATTTCGTGAGGCTGGAACGGAGCGGCTCCAGCAGAGTCTCGGTGCAGCCGCACGGGGGCCGGGCCAGGCCGGTGCCGGGCTGCCCTCAAGCGGAGTTTGCAGCAATATCGCATCAACGCTGCCAGGGATGAACACCCCGCGGCCACTTGGGTGGCTCTGCAGCAGCCAGGGAAAGCTGGTGCTTCCCAGGGAGCTCCCCGTGCCCCCCTGCCCCTGTTATGGTACTGGGAAAGTGAAATCCAGCAGGGCTTTTCCTCCTGTGTCAGCAACCCTGGTCCATCCTAGAATCATGGAATCACAGAATGGCTTGGGTGAGAAAGGACCTTAAAGTCCATCCTGCTCCACCCCCTGCCATGGGCAAGGACACCTTTCACTGTCCCAGGCTGCCCCAAGCCACATCCAGCCTGGCCTTGGACACTTCCAGGGATCCAGGGGGCAGCCACAGCTGCTCTGGACAACCTGTGCCGGTGTTTTACCACCCTGGGAAGGAATTTGAAAGGCTGAGGGCTGCTCTTGCAGCAGGTACAATCCCACCCAGAGCAGTGGCTGGACACAATGTTGGTTTCACAGCTGACATTCAAGTGTTCCCGTGGCCTCTGGAACCTTCCATAGCCTCATGGTGTCCCAAATTTATCTGCTTCTCCAGACACAACAGCTCTGCTGCTCTCTGGAGCTTATCAGCTCCCAGGGGGTCTCACCAGCTATCTCACAGCACAGGCTCCTTTGGGAAATGCTTCTCCACCCATCCCAACTGTTCTGATCTGCAGGGAAGGGACCTTTGCAAAATAAGAGCCCAGCCTGAGCAGGGCACCTGACAAGGTCTAGGTGCCTTCAGATCAGGACTGGGTGCAGGCTGTGGTGGAATATGGAATACTGTTTGCAGAAGTACTGCTTTGTCCCCAGAAGTGCCCTGCTGCGGCTGCCCCATCCCTGGGAAAGTTCAAGGCCAGAAGGCCAGGCTGGATGGGGCTTGGAGCAGCCTGGTGCAGGGGAAGGTGCCCCTGCCTGTGCCAGAGCCTCACCGCCCTCACGGGAAGAACTTCGCTGAATATCCCATGAATATCCCAATTTCTCTGTCTGGCAGTGGGAAGCCATTCCCCATGTCCTGTCCCTCCAGGCCGTCACAAAAGCATTTGGATACATGGATAAGGTCCCTCTGAGCCGTCTCTTCTCCAGGCTGAGCAGTGCCAGCTCCCTCAGCCTGTCCTCCCTGCAGGTGTAGGGATGGCACTCCATTCCCAGGGTGCTGTGGGGAGGGGGTGGCAGGGAGGGCTGTGCTGAGGATGTGGCAGTGTTGCACCCGCAGGGAGGTGCCAGCCTGGCAGGTGACCCCCGAGTGCAGCTCTGCCCCCCGGGCACAGGCACAGGGGCTGCCCCCACAGTGAGGAAGGGCTGGGGTTTGTGGGAAAAGCTGCCTGGTTGTGTCCAGAGAGCCTGGGCAGGGCTAGATGCCAACATGCAGGTTTAGGAAGGAGACGCTGCTGTAGAGCTCCGAGCAGACCGAGCCGCGCTCCAGGCTGTGTGTCCAGCCAGGCGGTGTGGACAGAGCCAGCTCCTCCCCGGGATCCTCATGCTCTGGGCTCCTAAGGAAGCAAAAAGGAGAGAGATGCTGTTAGCAAATGCTTCTACTGCCCACTGCACTCCCAAATGGGCTCAAGCAGTGATCCCAAAGACTGCCATCTCCAGACAGTCCCAAGAGGAATGTGAAGACAAACAAGAAGCTGTAGCATGGGTCACAGAATCCCAGGTTTGGGTTGGAAGGAACTTTGAAGAGTATCTAGTCCATGGGCACAGATACCTTCTACTAGACAGGGTTGCTCCAAGCCCCATCCAAACTGGTATGGAAGTGGCCTGTGGTCCAGGAAAACCCTTCCCACAGGACAATTCATGTTTCTGAGGAGTCACCAGCTCTACTGAAGGCTCTTGAGCATCGTCTGCTCCTCATGATCCCCTGTTTTCAACCATTCCTTACTTCCAACCCCAGGGAGCAAACCCCCTCCTGCATTATGTGCCATGGTAGATCCAGCTCATGGGATGTGAGGTCCTTTCAGCCACCACCTTTAACCTTAGGGAAGGGCACAAGCTCCAGTTCTGAGCCTCAGTGGGAATGTCCCATCTTGCACCCAAAATGTGGATGTATGGACAGAGCTGGTGGCCCCACACAGACACCTGGGGCAGGCAGAGACTGCAGTGAAACACGGACACCAAGGATGGAGGAGGTTTGGAGAAGGCTGGTGGTGGAGCAGGAATCAGCGTGTGACACTGAGAGGCAGGAGCAGGGGAGGAGCTGGACAGGAGCTGTGTGGATACCAGAGAGAGAGCTCTGGAGAGAGCTGGCACAGGCTGGGGAGCAAACAGGGAGAGCAGGGAGCTCCAGAGGATGGGAAGGGTGGAGTGTGAAGGGCTTTAGCTGAGGAGCCGTGACCAGGGCGCTGCAGGAAGGAGCAGTCTGGAGGAAGATGAGCAGGGTGTGCTGTCACTTGTCCCTGTGCCCGGAGGAGCCCTCGGGCACTTACGGCACGTCAGGGAACTTCCTGCGCAGCAGGTACTCGATGACATCGGGGTCTGTCTGGAACAGCCTCCTCAGCACGTCACACTGCATCTCTGGGGACACCTGGGGACACACGGCCACACCGCTCACTTGTGGGGCCACTCTCGGCAGGAGGCTGAGCAGAGGCAGCCAAGGAAGGAGCCCAGGACGTGGTCACAGAGCCAGCACGTTGGTGTCACCCCCCACACACCTCCCAGGGGCTGCAGGATCTGAGCGCCTGCTTTCCCTCCACTATCCCCAGTCCTTTGGCTCCCTGCAGACCACAAAAATGGCTATAAGGCTTTTTGGGGATCTGAAATGTCACATTCCAGTAGACCTGAGGGGACTCTTACTGCTGCCTGAGAGTGCCCTGTGGGAGGGTGGAGAGAGGATGGAGCCAGAGCCTTCCCAGAGGATGGGCACAGACCAAGGTGTGCATCTCTGACAGGGACAAAATCCTTCCCCTGCTGCTCTTGCAAGAGTTCAGAGGGAAGGAGGTGCTGGAGGGGCTGCCCTGAGGAGCCCAGCTTACCATGAACAGGGAGTGGTGGTGCTCAATCAGCCTCTGGAGCACCAGGATTATGGCAGCACTGTCCTCAAAGTTCAGGGCACCAGCATCTTTCTCTCCAGGCTTCTCCTTCTGCAGGATGTTGGGACCAAAGACTGTAGCCAGGTTTGACACTGTCATTTTGTTCCCAGGGATCTACAAGGAAGCACCAAAGGAACCTGTGGACTGTGGATGGAGTGGCATGGGATGTTCCAGGATGTCCTCACCCACCCCAGGGCAGGAACACAAGGGCGAGGTGAGGGTGAGGGGTTGGTCTGGGTCCAGTTTGGTCCTCTCTGAGCTGGTGGCAGGGCCAGCACAAAGGGCTCGAGGTGCTGGAGCACACACTCATCCCATTCCCACCTTTTCCAACCACAATGCTCCCGGGATTCCATGAGGGATTTGTTGTCTCCCCCAGGCTCGCAGCAGCCCCAGCCCCGTCCAGGGCAACCCTCGGGAGCAGCAGCCTCACCTGGCGGCCCTCGGGGTCCCAGGAGCTCTCGGCGTGCCGCGCCACCCGGGCCAGGAAGCGCAGGAGGCGCAGCAGGGTGTCACTGTGGCACGGGGGCAGCAGGAACAGCAGCAGCTGCAGCGTGTCCAGCTGGGCCTGCCCCTCCAGGCCTGGGGACAGCAGTGTTAGTGAGGGGCACAGCCCACCCGGCACTCCCAGCCCTCCTCCACATGTTGGGAATGAGCTCTGGTGGGAGCCAGACTGCTGTCCCACCCTTCCTCCCATGGGATGGAGAACCCAGCCAGAGCTCTGGTGGTGTTGGATATTGTACAGCCACACAGCCAAAGACTGTCACGGAGCAGAGGGATTTTTATAGTCCAATTCAAAAGAAATCAAACAAAACTCCCACCAAATCCACTGATTACAGTAACTGTGTAATGGGAGCACAACACCCATCCCAGAAGCTTTGGAAAAGAAGGATGGTGAGGAAGTGCAGTGTCCAAAGTCAGGATGGACAGGACTTGGAGCAACCTGCCCAAGTGAGAGGTGCCCCCAACACAAATCCTCCTGTGGCTGTGCAGGCTCTGCTCCACAGGTACTCACTGGCTGTGCTGAGGAAGGCTCCATAGAGCTCTCTGGGAATCAGGGAATCAGGCATATCCCGGAGAAACTCTTTGAGCAGGGCAGCCACATCATGAACACTTTGATGCTCATCCAAGAAAACATCCAGCCCTCGGTCAAACTCTTCCCTCAGCTTGGAGATGGAAGAAATGGGAAGGATGAAAATCACAGTGAGTTCTAGTCTGTTTCAGGCCTCTCCACACCAATGTCAGCTCTATCCATCCCCATCCACATGAGCCTCTATCCCCGACAAGGCACAGCCAGAGGATGCAGTGAATGCCTCCCTTTACCTGCTGGACTCTTTTCTTGGAGCTTCCAACACGGAAGATGCCAACAGTTTGAAGCCCTGGGGGACAGAGAGGTTAGTGCTGTGCATTCCCACTGCTCCCTGCCACCCAGGCTGCTCCTGGGAGCACCTCAGCACCGTGGCAGGGCTTCTCTTGCATGGCTTTCCCTTCTCCAGGCAGTGAGGAAAAGGAAAGGCTGTGGAGCCATGAGATTTCCTTGGGTTGCCTGTGGGAAAGGAGGAGATCCCATCCCTACAGTCACTGTGAGCAAGGGCTGGATGTGCAGCAGAGGTTGAGGCACCAGGAGATCATCACCGACACACACAGTGACATTCCCTCCTCAGTGACATCCCCCTCTGGTGCTGCATCCAACCCAGAGGACTCTCCTCAGGAGGCTTTTTGGAAGATGCCCTGCCCCAGGACTCACAGAAGCATTCAGGTTGGGAAAGACCTCCAAGACCATCGAGTCCACCCATGGTGCCCATCAAACCTGGCCTTCCTCCCACCTTGGGGGTGGTCAGCCAGGATGTCCTGGTGGCCACACTCAGGGAGTTTCTCCAGCCCTTACCGTGAGTCTCAAGGTGGGTGCAGCACCTGTCCACAATCCGTGGCACCTGCCAGGTGATGGGGTTCAGGCTCAGCTGCTTCTTCTTGCCGCGGCTCCTGCGAGGGTCCAGCTCATGGGGGTGTGAGAGCTGCAGGGCCTCCAGCAGCTCGGAGGTGTTGTCACTCAGCTCCGTGATGGAATCCACGGACATGGCCCCCTGGGATGGAGCAGAGGAATGACCCCACAGATCCATCACTGCCGTGACCTCACGGGTTTCTGGGAAAGGGCAGCACCCAGTGCCACCCCAGCCATGGCAGGGACACCTCCCACTGTCCCAGGCTGCTCCAAGCCCCAGTGTCCACCCTAATCTTGGGCACTGCCAGGGATCCAGGGGCAGCCGCAGCTGCTCTGGGCACCTGTGCCAGGGCCTGCCCACTCTGCCAGGGAACAATTCCTTCCCAATATCCCATCTGACCCTGCGCTCTGGACCCTTAGATGTCCCCCTGGTAGCCTCATCTCCATAAGAGCTTTGCTAGTGAGGGTCCTCCCACTCCTCTCAGTCCATCTCTGAGGGGGCTGGAGACATCACCATTTCCCCGAGGACAGACTGGAACCGGCCCAGCCTGGGTCACAACCCACTCGGTCAGTGAGAAAAAATCCTGGAAAATCCCATTTATTGCCAAATTCAGACGCCCCCATCCCACAGCAGCACCACAGCCCATGTTGGGGACCATACCCTCCGCTGGCTCCAGGAGCCCTTGTCCACCAGCACTGGGGAAAGCGGCTCCTCTGGGCAGGCCCCGTCGGGTGCCCGGATGCAGCTGGTGCCCACTGCCA